GGGAGAGCGAGACAGTGGTCGCACTAGAAGTCACTAGACGGTAACTTCGTCCTTTGCAGGAGAATTGACGTGCGGGCCTGCTTGGAGAGGGCACGCCAGACGCATATGGACGAATCCTTCCTACTCAAAACCTGGGCTCATATCCATCGTCCGTCGTCGACCTCGAGCTTCGCAATGCGCACGCATCAGGGCCCCGCAAGGCCAATGGAGGTCAAAAGGCCAACGTGTGGATCCTGCTGACAGGAAGGCTTCTGACGTTCCGCAAGGCGGAGAGATGGAGGAGACACGGCGCGGGCGTCGGCACGTCCGAAAAAGCTACAGACAAACATTAGCACTGTGCCCTAAAGTTAGCCAAAGCGCGTTCCACTGCTCGCACAGTATCTACTCGCAAACGGGCTAGATCCGCCGAGGATGCACGATCCATTACACCGAGTCAGGCATGTGTTTGTTTCGGACGTTTGCGAGCAGGCATTTTGCGAATCAAACAACGCGCTCGGTGAATAGCAGACGTTCTCCAACTCGGACCAGTGGCACGTTCTCCACAACCGATACGGGCCGCGATTGTGCAGGCGACTTTTGGTCTCAAGTGGACAGCGTCCGCGGCGGCAGTGGCTGCAAGTCCTGCTCAAAACGAGCAGGAACTGCTGCAGGTCATCGTCCCCATTGAGGGGGAACGATAGGGTGACCGGCTCGAGGGGAGAAACATGAACCTGGAATCGGCGATACATCGCCGATAGATCGGCAAGAGGGGCCCCCGATAGCAAATGCGCACGTTACTGGGCGGAATGGGCTGTCGAGCCCCGAGCTGCGATCAATGGGCGAATGGGGTTCGATACATGCCCCCCCCCCACAAAAAAACATCCCCCCGTAACTCAGCTCTCCAAGGCGGCCGTTCTGGACGATCCAGGCAACTCCAGAAGGCTCTCGGCGAGGCGCAGCTGCCGGAAGGCATCCCGAGGCTGGAGAGCAGCCGAGAACCGACGAAAACGCCTGAAAGCCTCGAAGCTCGAAAACCTCGAACCTAACCCCCACAACAAAGCAAATCAGGAATCGAATGACAATGGAGTACATCTGTGCTTTTGATATCTTATCACAAGCTTCTCATGATTGACTCTTTGCTTTAACTTATCACCATGGTTGAAGGAGCGCAAGGGCGTCCGCGGTGGCTGTCAATGGGCGATTGGGGGCCCATGCATCATCCCCTGAGCCTATCCCCCCGCAACGTTGCCCCTGAAACATGGCTCAGCGATCCATGGAGTTGGCGCGCGGTCCCCAAAGCCCAAAGCCATGTATCGGGGGAGGCGCCCGTCGCCAATCCGCGCCCCCTTGATCCATGCTTGCGATCGCCTGGAGAACGCCCTCGACCACTCTGGGCTTCGAAACCATTCGAAAAACTTCCGCAAACGTTCGAAACGACACCGCCACCCTGAGCCGCTCCCCCTCCTCCTCCTCCCCCTCCCCCTCCTCCCTCCTCCTCCTCCTCCTCCTCCTCCTCCTCCTCCTCCGCCTCCGCCTCCGCCTCCTCCTCCTCCTCCTCCTCCTCCTCCTCCTCCTCCTCCTCCGCCTCCTCCTCCCCGTCCACTTCCTCCCTCTTGCGATCGCCAGGGAGGAGCCAGGGGAGGACGACCGCGGAGCCGCGGCGGTCCCACTGCCCATCGTGGTGCACTGCGAGGGTGCCCAGGTCGCCTGCGGCACGCGGCGGGTGCCGTGCCCGCTGCCGCGCGCGGGGCCAATGAGCACCCACGAGCCCGCGGCCGTCGACGCCGGATCTCCGAGCGGCGACGATGACGTCGACGTCGGCGTCGTCCTTCACGATCGGCGAGCGTATCTGGTCACGTGATCATCGGCCCGTGGGGGGGGACAAATGTGGCTGCCCATGCCCTTCGTTTCGGGGAGGGGATTTCTCCCCTCTCCTCCGTAAGGCTTTTGGGGAGGACCGCGAGGTTGGACGGGGCCCCTTTTCACAAAAAAAATGGCTCCAAGAGGGTTCCCGATGCTCCAAGATGGCCTCCAAGGCGGCTTAAAGTGTCCGGAGATCGGTTCCAAATGCTCTCAGAGCCCACCCAGGACTGCCCCAAGAGGCCTAGAACAGTTAAAAGTTACTGGATAATCCGCCGACCCTGTCGGCGTGTGTGAAGAGCTTGTCCGTTCGAGTCGTCGTCTCCGTCGTTCGTTAATCGTCGTCTTTGTCACCCCCTAGGCCCTCGTCCTCAAGCGCGCCAGCCAAAGCGAACGTGAGCAACGTCGTAATTGACTCGACGGGGAGCCCCTTCCCTTTGATCCCTCCCCCGTCGGGAAATGGGGTCGCGGGGGGGTCGCGGGGGGAGTCCAAGGGAGGGGGTCCCCCGTGTCAGATGCGACTACCCCCGGGGGGTCACGGGGCCCTAAACAACCCAAAACGGGCCAAGAGTCAGATCTCGGGGGCCAGGCTGCACGGCGCGGTGATGGGCAGCGGGCCCCACAGGCCCTGCTCCAGCTCCTCGTTGTTGTACACCACGGCTGCCCAGCCCCGCGCATGCGCGACCAGCTGGGGTTGGCCACCGAGCCGCCGGTGGCGATGCCCCCGCTGAAGTGCGCTGGGCCGTCAGGTTTGACCCAGTGGAGCTCGGCCTCGGGCAGCTGCCAGCTCACCCCCACCGTGGGGTCCTTCACCAGGCCTCACGTCCACAGCCAGGGGTCCTGCGCCGCCTCGCCCTGCGCGATCATGTCGCAGAAGATCGCGTCGGACGTCAGGTCGGTGAGCTTCCCGCGTATCGCAGCGCACTCGGGAGTGCGGCGATGCAAGTGCAGGTGCATGTGGGTGCCCTCCTCCGAGCCGCACAAGGGCCACATGGCGCTGTCAGCCCTGCCCTCCGCGAAGAGAGCGCGCTGCTCGGGGCAGCCGCCGACGATGGCCACCGTCGCGGCGCTACGGTGGAAGGTGTCCAAATCTGCGACAGCTTCTTGCGCATGACCTGCCGTAGTGACGTGGGTCGGGGGCGCGGCAGCAGCGCCTCGCAACTGGGGGCGCTGGCCCAGGCGCCCAGCTCGCCCTCCCCGATGGCCTCCTTGGCTTCACTAATCATGTCCCAAGGGGCCACCTCGCACATGTTGATCCGCTCATGCGCCACCGTCTGTCGTAGCACGTGACCAAGATGGCCCCCGCCTCGCGCCTTGGCCCACCGCTCCTTGGATAGGGGCGTCAGCCCGCAGGACGGGCCCGATGCTGCCACGTTGCTTGGCTCGCGGCCTCTGCGTGCCCTCGCGCATGTCGGGGCGGTCGCAGAGCGGGCGCGCCCGCGCCTGCCGCGGCGCCGGCTTCGCGCGCATCGCCGCCTGGCCCCCGTCGGTGGCTGCGTTGAGCGTCGCCGAGCGGAAGGGGCCCGCCCTCGCACGAGACGCCCTGAGCTTGTCATTCAGGAGCTTCTGGGCGCGGAGCGGCGCGCCCTCGCGCGCAGCGCCTTGCGCGAAGGAAGGAGCGACGCCCTGCCCCGCGAAGCGCTCCACCTTCGCCCCGCGTCTCCGGAGCCGGGCCGCCCAGCGCGAGGGGGCGGCCGCGAGGCGCCGCCGGCGTCGGGGGCGCCGACGACATGCGGGTTGCAGCCGATACCCGGCCACGCCCCCACGCTGCCCCCGAGTGCGCCGAGCCGCTCCATGGGCTCATGCAGCGCCGCCTTGGCCGCCAGGGCGCTCGTCGCAAGCGCGCGCTTGCCGCCTGGCCCCCTCGCCAACGGGGGCCCCATCACCTCCGCCAGCACGCCGGCGCCAGGCACTGGAGAGCCCCGACAAACTCCGCCCCGAGGTGCTTGGCCGAGTGGGGCATCCTCAGCGCGACGTCATCCACGTGCTCCGCGATCCGAGAGCGGGAAGCCCTCGCGCAACAAGGTTCAGGGCCCAGTAGAGGAAGACCTTGAGCAGCTTGCTTGAATATTTGGGCCCCGCTGGTAGCCCGACAAGCGCGGCGATTGGCCCTGCAGCTGCGCCTTCGCGTCGGACGCAGCGGGGGGTCGAGAAGGCCGCCAAGGCGAGCCCAACTGCGTCCGATGGGAACCCCGTGGCCTCCGCGAAGTCCCACGGGAGGTTGAGGAAGGCCTTCTAGCACGCCTTGATGATGCCGAGCAGGTTGCTGGCCGAGCTGGAACCGCTACCCCCCGAGCCTCGTCGCCCAGCAGCACGCGCCAAGCCGCCTGCTCGCTGCTCTTGTCTGGGGCTGCCCAATCATAGCCCCTGCAGTGCTGGGTCCCAGACTCGCGCAGGCGTGTGGAGCAGGCAAATCAGCCTCCCCCACCGTCGAGCTTGCCCAAGGTGAAGACGACCAGGTGGTGGATATCGCCTGGCCACGCGCGCAGGCTCTCGCGCCGCTCCAGGACGACGCCGACGTAGCCCAGGAGGTCGTCGCTCAGCCAGCTCCAGCGGCGAGGGCGCCAGCCCATGACCCCAGCTCGCTCTCGATAGGCCGCGCAGATGGGGCGCAAGCGATCGGTCTCGACACGCCAAGCTCCGCCCCGGTGCCGACCAGAGCTTGCTGCGTGGGCCCTGTCCAGCCTGCCACGCGCCAGCCCACTCGGCCGCCTCTTGCTCCGCCGCGCGCCGAGAGTGCGCGGCCGGGGGCTGCTGGCCGACCGAACCCCGCGGCGGGCTCCAGTCGGCCCGCCGCGCACGCGCCGCGTGCAGGAGGCCTGCCGAGCCAGCGTGAATTTCTCCTCCAGCTTGAGCGTGAATCTGCGGCCCCGCTCGCTAATGAGGGCCTGCCCCCGCTCGTCCGGGCGGGCGCTTGCCGCGCCCCTGGCGGCGCCCAGCGCCCCGATGGCATCGATCGCGAGGGGCGCCTCCAGCAGTCGCATCAGGAGGCCCCCGAGCAGGTGACCCATGCCATCCGAGAGGGCCCAGTACTGCACCGAGCTCTGGAACTTGACTGCGGCCGCCTGGAACTGGCGCCTGCGCGCAGCGGCCATTCGGGCCTTGCCGTCGCGCGCGCATTTCTTGTCGCTCGTGCTCGCCAGGATGCCGATCGGGCGCGCCACGCTGTCAATCCTGCGTAGTCCTCGCCAGCCTTGATGCTTCTCATCCCGTCGTCGGTCTCGCACTCCCCGTGGCCGTTCAGCACCTGCTGGCTGCCGACCTCGGTCATCGCGCCGCCGCTGATGCTCACCATGTCGTGGTTCGCGCGCGGTCTGTTCCCGTTCTCCGTGACCGCGCTGCCGACGAGCTCCCGCTGGCCGTCGCCCTCGATCTCCGCGCGGTCGATCAGTGTCCCGACCTCGCTAACCATGTGGCCGATCATGCCGGCGGCGCGCCGTCGGTCCTGCTCTCCCTGCGGCCGTTCAACGCAAGCGGGTTGCCGACCTCGCTCGCCCTGCTGTCGTTGACGCCCGCCGCGTCGCGGACCCCGCCCGCCGCGTCGCCCTCCGGCCCCTGCTGGTCGACGACCTCGCCCTCCATGCTGTCGCTCTCGCGCGCCCTCTTCCCGATCTCGCTCGCCGCGTGGTCGATCGTGCTCGGCGCGTCGCTGGTCTCGCCCCACCCCTTCCCCCGCGGCCGCACAACGCGCGCTGTTTGTCGACCCCGCTCTCCATGGCGCGCCGTCGACTCCCGCCGCGCCGTGGTTCTCGCGCACCGCGTTCCCGTTCTCGATGACAACGTTGCCGACGAGCCCCCACTGGCCGTCGACCTCGATCTCCGCGCGGTCGCCCTCGTTCGCCGCGTTGATGTCGGCGCTCTTCCCCCTGCTGTCCGCGCGCGTCGGGTGGGCGTCTACGCACTGGGCGCCATCGTCCGCGATCAGGTCCAATTGGCTCTCGTCCATGAGCATTTGGCAAACGGGAACCTCGAGCCAAGCGGCCTCCACCGCTGGCCGCCTCCAGGCCCGAGCTGGCCCCCGACAGGCGACCGCGCGCGGGCGCTTGGGCAGCAGCTCCTCGTCGATGAGCTCGGGCGCCGCTCCCCGCCCCCTACGCGTGGCGGCCCGATCGCCCGCCGGCCTGCAGATTGTTCGCAGCTGCATGGGGGCCCGCGAGGAAGCAGATGCGACCCCGCGCCTGATCGAGTCTTTGGGCCGCAGGGGCGCCCTCCAACGCCTCGACGCCGGGGCGCGCCTGCGCCTCGCGCCCCCCCATGGGGCCCGGCCGCTACGCGGGCTACTGCCGAGGCTCGTCGATCACTTTCACTGCGAAGGCTTTGTCGCGCGCGCCGCGCCCCCGGAGGCCTCGACGAGCCTGTATCCAGAAGTAGTCGATAATGCTGTCTGCCCCCGAGCTGCTTCCGCGCGCGACCTCGCTGCGCGCGGCGGCCTCGTCGCAGCCGCGCGCCCCCTTGAAACCGGGGGCTGCGACCTGGGCCCCGCGGCCCGGCATTCCAGCCCCCGCCCAGCAGCCAGGGGGGCGAGTAGCTAGATGATCCAATCCGCGATCACGTCGACGATGGCCACGGTCGGGGGGCGCTCGAACCCTTGGCCGACCAAGTGGGCGCTGGAGGTCGCGAGCTGGCCGAGCCCTGGGATCGCGATCAATGACATCGCCGAGCGCCCCTCGCTGCCCCGCGGGCGGATGTCTCACCAGGGCTGCCCCGGTGCCAACGCCATCGGGAGGCAGGCGGGCAGCGCCACGGCGGCGCCCGCGCCGCGCCCGCCCGCGGCAGGATTCGCGGGCGCGCCCAGCGCGCGCCAACCCTGGGCCGCCATGCCCGTCGCGCCCTCGTTGAACCATTGCCAGGCCTCGCTGCGCTCCTGCCCCAGCGCGACGGGGGGCGCTGGCCCTCCGCGATAGCCGCCGCGCCTTGGCCCGCCGGGAAGTCCCGAGGCGCATCCGCGACAAGCTGCTGTTGATCAGACGGACCTGCAGCATCTGCTGGCCGTGCCTGCGCTTGCTGCAGCGCCCTCGCCGCAGCCCCGCCCCCACGCCAATGCCCGGGCTGGGCGTTGCCGACTTGGCCGTCGGGGGCGCCCTCGCGCTGGCGGCGCTACCAGGCGTGCCAGGGTTTGAGCATCTCTTTGCGCTTGAGCCGCTCGGTCTCTTCCACGGCGGGGTCGTCGGCCCACTCGCCGAAGTCGTCGTCGTCGCCATCCATCGGGTCGTCGCCATCGCCCGCGCGACCCGCGTCGTCTGCAGCAGGCGTCGCGGGCGCCCAGCTGCCCGCCTTGGCGTCGAGCGCGGCCCGCTGTGCACGCCGACGCTGCCGTTGTCGGACCCTGCCCTGCAGGGCGGCGATGTCGTTCTTGATTATTCTCCGCGCGTCGACCTGGCCCTGGGCGCCCTCGCGCAGGGCGGGGGGGTCGCCCGGGAAGGACTGGGAGCACTCGCGCACTTGTGGGCCGAAGTGCGGGGGGGCCTCGGGGGCGACGGCCCCCCCCTGCAACTGCAGCTGCTGCATCGGGTGGAACTCCAGAAGCTTCCTCTCCCTGGCGATATTCCGCAGATGCCCCTCTTGCAGCTTCGCGAGCTGCTCCTCAAGCTGCGGGATCGCGGCGTCGACGCGGTGGGAGATGCGCTTGGAGACCTGGCCGATCTTAACATCAAGCAGTTGGAGCTGAATTACTTTCGGCTTGGCTGCCCGCTTTGCTGCAAGGTGCTGATCCCGTCTGCCTCGGGTGTCTTCCAAAGCCCGACTGAGTGCCTCGTCAGCTCCGTAATTGCTTGAGCGCGCCCTCCAAACCGTGGATATTGGCATCGAAGGCGGAGAGGTCCGCGTCCTTACCGCAAGCTTAGTCCTTGAAGACGCTGTCGCCGCTGGAGTGGTCACTGCCCTGCGGTGGCCCGCGGGCCCAGGCGCCCTGGGCCTCCGTGGGCGTGGGCCGCCACCCCCGGGAGCCGAGGTGAGGGCCCCCACCCTGGCCCTGCCCGCGGCTGCTCGGGGGGCCCGCGGTCCGCTGCCGTTTTGATTCCCGCTCCAGCCTGGCACGCACTCCCGTACTCGCCCACGTGCCGCACGTCGAGCACAGCAGCTTCGTCACCGCCAGCCCCGTGGTGTAGCAGATTCCGCACGACCATTTACTGCCTGCCAGACCCCAGCCACCTCCACGGCGCCTGGGCATGCCCACGGCTCTGATTAGGATTTTCACGTGCTTGGGTCAGCCGTGCGCTTGGAATGGATGCGTGCGGCAGCTCGCCCAAGAAGTGGCTGCAATACTGGACCACTGAGTGGAGTCCTGGACCGCAAAAAAAACAGCTCTGGAATCAAAGCTTTGGCCTTGAGCCAGCCTGGTAAAGGTGAGTGTGTATTTATGTGGCAACTGCCGGGCGCAAATCTGTAACGTCGTGGCGCGTTGCTAGCTGCTGCTAGTTGTCGTTCGCTGCTGCTGTTAGTTGTTGCTAGCTGCTGTTAGTTGTCGTTTGATGGCGTTTGTCGCGGCGCCCATGGCACGATGAAGAGGGATTAGAAGAGAAACCAAGAAGGAAACATACGAAGACGACGACAATGAGGAGGACGACAGGGGGGAAACGGAGACAACGACGGGCGAAACGCGAAGGGCGAGGAACACACCCGGAAGGTCAGAAACCGTTGGGGAAACATGGGGGACGAAGAATCGCAAGAGGAGGAAGACGAAGAGGAAGGGAAACGGACGCGCGAAGAAACGAAGGGAAGGAAGGAAGACGAAGACGGAGGGAGGAAGGAGGAAGGAAACGCGGGAGAGGAGGAAGACGAAGACGGAAGGGAGGAAGACGAAGGGAAGGAGAGAGGGAAGAGGAAGGGAGACGGCCACGACAGGAAGATGGAGGAGACGAGAAAAGGAACACCAGGGACAAGGGAACAGGAGGACGGGGAGCAGGATCACGATCAAGAATTGCGAGGGGAGAAAGAACAAATATCGAAAGGAGAAGCCGGGCGAAAGACAGAAGGGCGAGGGGATTGGGGCATAGAGAGGGAACGCGAGGAGGGGAATGAGGAGGAAAAAGAAGAGGCGGATAACGCCCCACTGGGTCCGCCCTCGGGGCTCCAAAGCCCGCCCGCGGGCGCTGCCGCCGACAACCGACCTGGGCCGGCCTCCCCGTGGCGCAGGGCTGGCAGTCCCGAGTCGCCAGCGTCGCGGTCGTCGTCGTCGTCGTCGTCGTCTGCGCCGCCGTCGTCGCCGCCGTCGCCGTCGTCACCGCGTTCGTCGTCGTCGTCGTCGCGTTCGTCGTCGTCGTCGTCGTCCTCGTCGTCGTCATGCTCGTCCTCATCGTCGTCGTCGTCGTCATGCTCGTCGTCGTCGTCGTCGTCGCGTTCGTCGTCGTCGTCGTCCTCGCCCTCGTCCTCGTCCTCGTCCTCCTCGTCCTCGTCGTCGTCGTCGTCCCCGCCGTCGTCGTCGTCGTCGCTTTCGCTGCCGCCGTCGCCGTCGTCGTCGCCGCCGCGCCCGTCGTCGCCGTCGTCGCTTGTCGCCGCCCCGCCGCGGTTGTCTCACGCAGCTCCGCGGAGCCACAACGGGCCCCGCAAGTCCCGTAGGTCCAACGGGTCCAAGAGGTCCCACAGGTCCTGCAGGTACTTGTGTGCGTGTGTGTGCCTGTGAACATTGGAGTTTGCATGCGCACCTCGTGGTCTGAGGCGATGCTGTGGTATGCTATGCTGGACAGCACAGCCGAGCTGCATTTCTTTGCTTCGCCGAGGTTGGTCTGCCGTGCTGGTCTTCCGTGCTGATCTGCCGTGTTGGTCAGCCGTGCTGGTCTGCCGCACTGGTCTGCCGTGCTGGTCTGCCGTGCTGGTCTGCCGAGCTGGTCTGACGTGCTGGTCTGCCGTGCTGGTCCGCCCCGAGCAGAAGCTTCATGTTAGAAGCACATAAATTCAATCACGCTTGCTGTTGTGTTCGGCCTCAAGCACGTGCCTCGAGCCAGCTCCCTCAGGGGATAGCCCAAAGGTATGGTTTTGCTACGCTCGTAGCACGATTCACCTCTCTGGCGCGCAGATGGGGGGATTGCTCTCGGAGAGCAGAAGTTTCATGTCAGAAGCACACCAATTCATTCATAGTTGCTGTTGTGTTTGGCCTCAAGCACGTGCTTCGCGCCAGCTCCCTCAGACGATAGCCCAAAGGCATGGTTTTGCTACGCTCGTAGCACGATTCACCTCTCTGGCGCGCAGATGAGGGAATTGCTATCTGAGAGCACAAGTTTCATGTTAGAAACACATCAATTCAATCATAGATGCTGTTGTGTTTGGCCCCAAGTACGTGCCTCGCACCAGGTCCCTCAGAAGATAGCCCAGGAAGATTATTTTTGGCTCACCCCCCCGACTCGCCATCGGACAAGCAATCCTCGTGCTGCGCACAGACGCCGCTCACCTCTGGCGCCCCCGCACGCTTGTACCGCTTGGACCATGTGATCGCAGCTTTCGTCAGCTTGCTGAGCTCGCAGTACAGAAACTGCACGCCACAGTCCGTCCTCTCCGCAAGGGCGCGGGCAGCGCGGGCCAGAACGCGCATCTTCTCCTGCTGGGCCGCGGTGAACTTGCGGCGCCGCGCCCGGGCATCCAGCGTCGACGCCAACAGGCGCAGCCTCCGACGCAGTCGGTGGCACCATGCCGCCGACGACTCGAAATCGATCATCATGTCTGCAACGCTGCCCGAGCCTGTCTGGCTATTCAGGGCGGGCCGCTTGGCTGCGGGGACGCACGGCCGCGGCCCGCCGAAAGCGTTCAGACCTGACTTTGCGCCCGGCCCCCACAACGAACCCGACCCAGCCTTCATGCATTCCTTGCGGTCCGAACACCACGCAGGCCGCCGTTCACGCGTGTTCCTGATATACATTTCCAAATACGAAAACGCGTTTTTCCCGAGCAGAACGCCACACGTGCTGCCGAGGTCCATGCATAAATCTTTCCTGGTCTTTGTCTTCAACCCGCTTTTGCCGCCCATGCGTTTCACGAGGGACCTGACTCTTTTCAACTTCCCTGCGGCTAAAGATTTCTGTTCATTCCTGCTCTTGTTCGCTGCTTGTCTGTTGAATGCACGCGTAAATAACTGAATGTCGCAAGTATCAACCACCTTCTGCGCGGAATCAATCACCCGACTGGCTGTCAAATGCGGGCCCTGTGATATCTCCAACAGCAACGCATCGACAAATTCATGGCTGTTGATCACGGCAGGGACAACAGCTGCGGCCAGCATGCTCTCCTCCTCGTCCCGCGCCGCAGCGAGAAGCTTCATCACTTTTGCCGTGTACGCATCTGTTGGCTCATCATTTATTTTGAAATACTTCAACATCGTTATCGGGCTCCGGTGCTGTGTCTGGACTGCCGACCACGCCCATGGATTGCGTTGTAAACAGCGGTATTTCACCTGTACTTCAGGGAGCAACTTGTCCAAACCAGTGTACCAAGCCATTTGGCCATCGAAACCCAAATCAGTGGGCACGGCAGCCCGTGCAACCAATACCTCCAAGAGGCCTTGCGGGTCAGCTTCGCACCGGAAGGCCATGGCAAGAGTGGGGAGATATGGAGGACAGAGGAGGAGGAGAGGGAGGACAGAGGAGGAGAGGGAGGACATAGGAGGAGAGAAAGAGAGAGAGAGAGAGAGAGAGAGAGAGAGAGAGAGAGAGAGAGAGAGAGAGAGAGAGAGAGAATGAAAGAAAGAAAGAAAGAGAGAGAGGGAGGACTGAAGGAGGACAGAAGAGGAAGC